CCCCCTCCGCCCTTCGCGCTGCTCCCCCCGGTCCCCGCGCCCTCACGGCCGCCCGGTACCGGCGGTGCGGCGCCGCGCGGCCGCCCCGTGCCCGCCGCGGCCGGCGGCGCCGCTGCTCCGGCAGAGTTTGGTGCCCTACTTCACTCTACTTTAGTTTCACTCACTTTACATCCGGGCTTTTTCCCTAGGCAATGGGGGCCGCAGCACAGCCCGTTCCTTAGGCAAAGGGAAATAAATTCGCCGCACCGACACGTCAAGTAGTCCCCCCTTAGGAGAAGCCGCCGAGCCCGCCCTCCCGGCTCCCCCACCGGCCCGGACCCGGCCGGCGGCGCCCCGCCGTCGCAGCGGGGAGGGGGGAGCGTGGGCGTGGGCGCAGCGGTCCCCGCTCCCCCCTACGGGTCTCCGGCGGCGGGCCGGGCCAGGCCGGGGCGGGCGGGGGCGCGCGCGGCGGCGTGTCGGGAGCGCGCCGCAGGCAGGCAGGCAGGGAGGCCGGTGGCGGAGGGATCCCAGCGAGCGGTGCTGCGGCCGGGCCGGGTGAATGGGATTGAAGAAGAGTTCAGCTTCTCGGCTTGTTTTTGTGTCACAGTTTCTCTCCTCCTGCGCCTCTCCGGCTTCGTGCCGCCCTCCCCGCCCGCCCTCTCCTCCCCGCCGCAGGAGGAGCCCCCCGCGGAGAGGGGGAAGGAAAAGGACCCCACAGAGGCGAGAGCGAGCGAAGAGGAGGAGGAGAAGGGAGCAACCTACCATCTTCCACTCCCCGCTTAGCTTAAAGAAAGTGAGAGGAGGAGAGAGAGAGAGGCGCCCAGAAGAGGGGGACAGGGAGGCCCAGAGGAGCGGCGGCGCCGGCACCCTCCCCCTATGAAGAAGAGTCCTCCCCCTCACAGAGAGGTCCTGCCAGGGGGACCCCGGCCGGCCCGCAGCACCACCGCCGCCGCCAGCAGGGTGTAGTATCCCACCTTTCGGATTCGCCTCCTCCTCCTCCCTGCCCCCCCCCGCCCCCCGGGCGCCGTCCCCCCTCTCCCCCCCGCGCCCCCCGGGATGGCGCCAGCGCGCCCCGCACTCTCCGGCCAACTTGGCGATGAGGAGCAGCAACTTCGCCGCGGCCCCCGGCCCCTCCCTCGGGGGGGTGGCGGGGAAGAGCGGAGCGTCCCGGGGCGGCCCCCCGGCCTCCCCGGCAGAAGTTTGCGAGCGGGAGCGGGAGAGGTGGAGGAGGGTGACACTTGGGGTAAAAGGAGGAGGTGACACATTGGGGTTGGGGGGAGGAGCAGGGGAAGGAGATGACACATTGCACTGGGGATGGGGTGGGGGAGGGAGGCTTATCCCCTCCCCTCCGGTTTCCTTCAGGATGATTATTTCCAGGCCCTTTTCTCTTGGTCGGGTCCTTCGCCGCGATGCTGTCGGGGAAGTTTTATTATTATCTGGGAAATGATGCCGCTCTCGATGATGGATAATTCGTAGTAAAGCCGCTGCTGCGTTTTTTTTTTTTTTTTCCTTCCCTCCTTCCTTTCATTCGTCTTTGTGGCCCGAGCAGCGCCGGGAAAATTCCGTTTCTTCAGCAACTTGTTATTCCGGAGCCGGGCCTGCCCCTCTCGCCCTGGGGCTGCCCTTCCCGCACAGGTACGGGGCCGGGGGCCGGGGGTGCCCACTCCTGCTCCGGCATTAGGTACGGACACTTCCTTATTTTTATTTTTTCCCTCCCTCCTGCGCCCGTGTAGGTGGAGTGGGGCTCTATGTGGGACTCTGCCATTTGGTGTAGTCCTCTTGTGCATGCTCCTTTCTTCACTTGCCTTTCTGCGGGATTTTTTTTTTTTTTTGGTGGTAGTGTGTGTTTTGATTTTTTTCTGTTTTTTATTATTCTGAGCTTCGCTGTCGGTAGAGCTTTCCCCCCAACCACCTTCTGCAGTTTGGTGGGTGCTGATGGGATTGTACGACGAGGTTTTTTGGGTGAATTCGTATTGGATTAATGCATGGAGCTCTTCATTCAACTTCTTCTCAAGTGTCAAAAAATGAGGCTATGAACAGATGTGTTTCAATATGGAGAGATTTCCAAGTTCCTAATTCTTGGGGGTGGAGGAAAGAGTGCCATTGGAGAGTGGCTTTTGTTTTCGATTGGTGAACAAATGTCATCACATTTCAGTCACGTGCTGTAATATTCTTTGTTCAGCTATCAAAGTATGATATCTCCTACACCTGTTCCCACTTTTTATTTGTAAGTAACGGTGATTGCCTGCAAATCTTATAATTGTGGATAGGAGTGCTTACCCCCTTTCTCCTCCTCCTACCCCCTTTGGATATTTGTTTGGGCCCAAGCGCTGAGCTTGACAATGAACTTTTGTTCGCTGTGGAGACTGCATGTAAAAAGGTCCCACTGGGGGTAATAACTTGGCGTGTCACGGGAAAGTTGTGTACTGTGATGTACGGCAGGTCTGAGCGTGGAGAAATCAGGTGGGGATGTCGCTCCGTAATGGCAGGGCTCCAGTAAGGGGTAGGCTCCTTTGGGCCAGGGAAATTTTCTTGTGGTGTTGCTTGTTATCAGGTTAAAGGATGGATTCTCCTGTACACCAAGATAGATACATAGATTTATAAATGGATGCATCTTTTTTGCTTAGCTGTAGATTTTCAGGTATCAGAAATAAGAAGGATTTTGGCTGTCTGTTTACTTTTTTTTCCCCATTGTGCTCACTTCTAACAATGAAGACACCTGCTTAGTTTCAGTTTTGTAAGTCGGCTTCCTCTGGCTTTCCTGTCCTTCGCCGGGTTAGTTGGTGAGGCTGGGTCTGCTACATAGCAGGGGAATTTTTAACTTTGATAAAGATGGGCTTATTTTGGCGCTTAATTTGTGAAAAAAACCACACATTCTTTTCAAAGCCTTAGGAAAAAAAAAACCCTTAAAAATATAAAATTCATTATTTCTACCAGGTTAAATGCTAAAACGTTTATATTAAGCTTGTTAGTGATCATGTATGATATAACTTTATAGGTTATATTAAATAGTGATATTAAATTACTACTGAGAACAGGAGCTTGAAAAAAGAAACAAAAAATATGCATAGCTACTCATATTAGTTTAAGAAGTTAATTACCGCACTTAAGTAGAAAGATCACAGACTTTGAGAATTTTATTCATATCTGTGCATGCTTAAAGATAGCTAAATGAAACTGCCTCTTTGGGGGCACTTTTTATTATTGTTTCCTAGAAAGGAATTCTGTAGCTCAATTAATGAAACTTTAAAACTGTATTTTAAAAAAATGATGTGATTCTTCCATGTTTTTAAACCTTTCGACTTTACTGTGGTAGAGAAATTAGATTATTTTATGATAGTTACATCAGCTAGGAGTTTGAGCTCATACAGAGGGATTATGAAGCAACTTCTTTATCCATTGATTTCATGTTGCATAGTAGCATGTGTAGAGTGTCTCTTCAAGGTCTTAAGAGACCCGTTTTCTAGCAGAAGGTAGGTGCTTGCTCACTGAGAGTACTTGCCACCAGCTGGATGTCACCTATGTCATATCCCCCCTTTTTAGCTGTACTGGCCCGAGTGACAAGAAACTTGGAGTGGATCCCATTGTGGATTTTGTTGATTTTTCATTTAACTAGCAAAGCTAACGTGTATAATTCAAAATGTTGTGTTGAGTATTTTGTTATTAATAATTATTTTGCCATTAGTTATTGTAAGATTTCTACAGGAAAGCTTTTAATCTTTGCTCTTCTCTATGTGCTCCCTGAACTGGATTTGTTATGAATTGGAAGAAGGCATTTGAAAGTGGTTTTATTTCTTTAGGGAATGAAAATAAAAAACTTTTCTTTCAAAGAACTTAAAGCAAAATGAGGAAATTAAAACTTATGTTGCTCAGAAAAAAAAAAGTGCTGTTGTGTTTTTCAGCTTCAACGGTGAAATCTCTGCTTTGAGTTTAGGTTTTGTAACCCTAAGCCGTTCAGCTTCAGCTGTGCTTCAAGAATTGGGCCTAAATAGTTCTTACTTCAACTTCTCTTTTTTTTTTAGAGATGACGTTTTCTATGTGCCTGTTCAACTTAGAAATTATGGTTCAAAAAATAGTTAAAAATGTCTTGGAGTGGATCTGTACAAGGGATACAATTTTCATGCACTTTTTGTTTGTTTGTTTTTGAAAATAAAATGTGTTTTATTGACTCCTTAGAAAGTTGTAAAATTCCGCGTTCAGTTGGAAAGCTTTGATAGTGAGCCTGCCTATCACTTGGGTTGCTCATGCAGTTTGTTTATAATGAACACATTGTAGCTGTTCAGTTCCTTTATACTTATTCTCAGAGCCCTGAAGAACTTTATTTGGTCAAATGAATTGATACTGGAAATTGTTTACAATGGAGATTTCTCTTTCATTTTAGTCCAGTTTGAAGGAACCTTGATGGACTACCTTATTTCATACGTTATTGGCATTTTTTGTGGATACCAGAAACTCAAGACGAGTATCATGTGAGAAACACATGTTGGTGACTTAGTCTTTTTTACTATTGTTTCTGGTTTGTTGGTTTTACTTGTTTAAAATCCTTCAGAAAGAACTTCATAGCTGTGATAGGGCTTTGCTTTTTGAGGGGCCATCATACATGTGATGTGAACTGTAAAGCCTCTCCTTCGAGAGAGGCTTCTTGTGTAGAAGGAGCAGTGCTAAAAACCTATTATTAAGCTTCTAATAGTATTTCTTCACTGTCCCCTTCACCCTTTATGCTCACAACTGTGCAGTCACATGCGTAGCTGTACACTAGAAGTGTAAGACTCTACAAAAGGCCTGGCTCCTGTATGTTCGTGAATTGCCCTTGTTCAATTACTCTGTGCCAGAAAGCAGCTCACATCCTGTTTCTGATGTATTTTAACAGCACAAAGGTTATTTAGGAACAAACCATATACTGGAAAGGTGGGGCAGAGCACAGAAGGGTTTTGAGATGTCTGCTGAATGCAAGGGGCTAGATACTTACTTCTTTACCATGTAAATAGAGGGTATAAAAGGATAGTTTTTATAGGTATCTTACATTAATATTTCATGTTCAGTATAGCACAAAGCCAGTGTTTGGCTTATGCTGGTGGTAGAGAGATGCATTATGCAGGCAAAAAAGAATTTTATTTACATTTGGCGGGGGGGTAACTTTGTGTTATCTTATTTCCCTTTTTTTTTTTTCCCCTTATTGCAAGTACAGTCTCATTTAAAAAAGAAAAGAAAAGCCCTTGTGTTTCTTTTGAAAGTTTTAAATAATTTGTGGCTCCCGCACCGTACCAAGTTCTCACTGGACTCCTCACTTGTATGATTTTGAGTTTGTTTGATT